GGGCCCAATCGGGAATGTACACTGCCCGAATGCTCGGCTCGTGGCTGCTTGCCGGGACGCTGCTGGAAAAGTTCGTCTACTCTTGTTCTATTTCGGGATACCTAGTCTGGGGCACGTTGGATCCCGATGCGTTGCAAAAGTTGATTCACCAAGGTTGTTTGTTGTGCAAGGGCGCTCGTCAACTCTATGACTTGTGGAGATAAGTGTTGTTCGCCATTTGGATTGGAAGAGCTTGGAAGGAATGCGCCTCCTTGGGCAGTGGAAGGGTGGTAGACTCCGGGCGAGAGATTTGAGTTGGGAAATGTCAAATCCGCGAAAAAATGTAGTGAGAATGCCCCCGGCTCGATGGTAGGTCCGGATAGTTGAGATAGTCTTGGCCAACTTAGGCTGCTTGGAAATCCACGGTAGCAGACTTGGCCGCGAGAGCAGGCTGGGCTGCGAGAGTGGGCTGCTTGGCGGGAGCAGGCTGGACCATGGGAGTGGCTGCCTGTCGGGAGCAGGCTGGGCCACGAGAGCAGGTTGGGCCATGAGAGTAGGCTGGGCTATGAAAGTAGGCTGCTCGGAGTGTGATGCACATAGGTGCGAGGCTTGGGCTTGGCTTGGCAATGCGTTGAGTTCGCGTTGGGCTTAGAGTGACATGGCTTGGGTCGTGGCCTCGGTGCCGTGAGCCTTGGATAGCACGGCTCGGGCCGTGGTGAAGGCACCATGGACCTCACCACGGGTGGCTACCGAGGTAGCCACCGTGGTGGTTCCCGTAGTGGAAACTCGTGGTGGTGGTGCCGCTCCACTTATTGTCGCAGTTAGCCTCACGGATCTCCGCAATCCCATTTCTTGAATATTAGAATTTTCACTTGTGGAATTTTCTAAATTTCTAGCCATTATATTTTGCTTATACGTTTTATCAAAGAACCTTTACAAGTAAAAAATTCTAATAATAAGAACGTATGAAAAATATTCAAATGGACTAGAAAATAAAGAAAAAACCTTTTTGTGCGAGAGTTTTCTATGAGTATGGATTTCAACTCTCAATGAAAGCACCAATTTGTGGATGCAAATTTTCTCCTCCTCGATCTTGGACGATTTTGCACCTACAAAACAACTAGCACCTTAGGTTAAGGCCAAAAGCCTCACGCGCCCACGATGAATGGGGGGGCTTTGGCCGAAGAACCTCCGATGCCAAAGTTAGAATTTTAGAGAGAAATAGTGTTTAGAGTATTTGAGATTTTTTGTAAGAGAATTGGAATGACTTTTTGGTGAGAATAGGTGCCTATTTAGGATTAAGCTTACCCATTTTTCCCCTTGGTGTGGCCGGCCTTGATGGTTTTTGTGGTTATGATTTTGGCTTAATTAGCCAATTTATTGGCTAATTAAGTATGAAAGAAGTAAATGGGAGGTTATAAAATTATTTACTTGTATAAATGGGGAAAAGTAAGAAAGACTAAGAAGAATGTGAGGTGACCGGCCACTACCTATTTTTAGGGTGAATGGGATATATTTGTGATTAATTGGGGAATTTAATTGATGTTTAATTGATTAATTGGGTAATTAATCCATTAATTAACTAATTAACATTATTTTGTAGGTTACCCAATTAATCCATTAATTAACTAATTAACATTATTTTGTAGGTTACCTTGCAAAAGGGAATTTGATGAGATAAACTTTGAATTGGTTACCTCTTTTGGAGCATTTTTGATTTTGTTGAAAAATGATTCTCCGCTACTCGCGTATAGGAATCTCAACGTGCCTCAAGGGTATTCTTGTCCTTTTTTATCCAAAGATCCACGTGTCGCCTTGTGATTATTTTTGGCTCCACAACCATAATAGCTTTTTCAAACAATGAAACCAAACCAAAACCGTTTGAAACCAAACTGAACCGAACCAAATGGTTTGGTTTCATTTCGGTTTTAGCCTTAAAACCGCACCGAACCAAACCGTAAAAACTTGCGGTTTTGGTTTTGATTTCACTCAAAACCGCACCAAACCAAACCGCGCCTAACCCTACTTTAAGATATATCGGTGAAATCAACTATCATATTTTTGTTGAGATGCCTAGAATGATACAAGGTAGCTCTTGCAATCAAATTGTTATTGAATCAAAGATCTTTGTTTCGAGATGCCTACAATGATACAAGGTAGCTCTTGCATTCAAATTTTTAGGAGTTAATGATCTTTATTTTGGTTAGTTAATTTTTTTTTTAAATCACAATTCCAGTGGACAAAGATGTATTTCCCTATCAATATATATACGGGTTGTGATTTTTACACATCCTTAACTACTTTTCCCACACCCCTTCCTATTTTTTAATAGTTAATTGGTATCCTATTATTTAATCTTCCATATATATCCTTCCTAATTTTTGATGGTAATTAATGAATGATTAAATAGGGAGGGGTATATATGGAAGATTCAATAGTAGGATACCAATTAAGTACTAAAAAATAGGAAGGGGTGTGGGAAAAGTAGTTACGGGTGTGTGAAAATCACAACCCTATGTATACATGCTCCTTTCTTCATTTTATGTTATAGGAGTCAACTAATAAATCCAAAGAAATCCATACACCAATTACATCTCGACATGTGGCACTCAAAATCCTATCTGAAAAATTATTGAGATTACATATCAACAAGAAATCTGGAGAGTTACTCACTTTAGCGACATGTGTCACTCGAAATCCTATCCGAAAAATTATTGAGATTACATCTCGACAAGAAATTCTATGAAAAACCATATTAATTCAATTAAAATAATAAATTATGTTTGGTCTATGGCTCTTTGGCCTCCTCGGTTGGAGATGGTACGAAATGTGATCTGATATTGTTCATTACAATATAATTTCTTGGAGAGCTACAGGGCTAAAGGGAGCCTTCTAGCCCTCCTTCGGTTGGAGATGACTTAAAGTTTCTCAATGTAATCCTCAAAAGGTTTATCTTTTTTTTTTTTAATTTTTTTATATTTCAACATAAATTACGGAGATGGAGGAACCGATCAATCGACATATATGTATATGTAAAGTTATCACGGAAAAAATGGCCTCCATATGAAAACATTTAGGTTTTACAAGTTTGTTTTCTTTTGGTGTATAAATAATCTTCTGCCGCAGATCTGTTGAGACGATAGTCATACACTCGTGGAAGATGGCGCACGATCGAGACGACTCAATTAAGGACGTCGTTACAAAACTAAATATCATTAAGGTAACATCCTCTCCCTCTCTCTCTCTCTCTCTCTCTCTCATAATACAACACTTTTTATGAAAAGCTTGTGCTATTCTGCTGGTCTTTTCAAAGAACTAACCATCTGGAGATGCTCTTAAGGTTTTAACTTAACATTCAGTTTTTGAGTGTTGTTGATAGAATTAGAGTATACAACCCTCTGGAAGGGGAGATCTAGGATATTTGAACAATCAAGGCTTTATTTTAGTGTCTAGAATTATGTCTTTTGAACTTCTTTTTTTTTTGTGTTAGCTGTATTAATGCAGTTTTGTGGAATTTTTGCAAGGAGGTAGAACAATTTTTTAAACCAAATTTGCAAACTAAACGATGTATCTCCAATATGAAATAAACATGTTATTCAACACTTAACTAATAATTCAATCATTAACAATTACATCATTTGGGTTTAAAAATTTGGTTTCTAGAACATTACCTTTTCTGCAATATATGTAATAAAATTGTTTATCTTTAAAGCCAATGTGTACTTATATGGATGGTGAACACTGGAGTTTTTTTGTTTTGTTGAAATGCTCTCTATTTAGTATAACCTTGAAACACTTGGAAAAATATGTATTCAGGTAAAAACATCAAAACTTAAAAAATACAAAAAAACTACTAAGCCTTATCCCATTAAATAGGTTTGGCCGTATGAATTCTATAACGCTATTGCTTTCGATTTTGTACCAAGTCCTATGTTAGCTCTAAGTGCTCTATATCTTTTCTTATAGTCTGTTTCAAAGTTTTTCAAGGTCTTCCTCTACTCCTTTTGTTTTGAGCCTCTTTCTCATAATCACGTTTTCTAACCGGAACATCTGTAGGCTTTCGGTTCATTTGTCTCATCTATCTTAATCGATTCTCTATCATCTTATCCTCAATTGCGGTCTATCCTGTCAACTCCTCTGAGTAATTGACATCGGGCATATTGTAAACCCATGCTTGTAATTTTGTAGACTCCCAATGTATGTGGGCTGGCTTTGCGCAAAATCCGCAAAAGCGTTAGAAGGGGATTTAGGGCTGGTTTGGTATTGCTGTGCTTTGAAAAAAAGTTGCTGTGAGAATAAGCGGCTGTGATGTGAGAATAAGCGGCTGTGAAATAAATCAGCAGAGTGTTTGGTAAACTTTTTTGTAAAAGTGCTTTTGGAAAAAAAAGCAGTCTAATAGTAGGTCTTTTCATTAAAGAAGCACTGTAGCTCCATGTGCTTTGAAAAAAAGCCAGTTTTCCAAAGCTGCAAATAGCAGCTTCAGCTTTTTCCTTTGATTTCAGCTTATTCTCACAGCAGCTTCCAAAATAAGCCCTTTTTTTTCAGTTTACCAAACACCTAAAACCCTCACAGCTTTTTTTCATGGGTGCTTTTTTTTTAAGCACCTCACTCCCAAACTAGGTCTTAGGCTCGGGATTACAATCTAGGGAAAAAAAACAATATGAGGTAAGAAGAACAGGGTGGAAAATCTGCGGAAAGCCAATGCAGATATCAAGGGAAATTAGTATTATAGGATAACCAATAGAATATGATGTCATTTCTTCTTTTCCAATAAAAAGAGACTATTTTACGATAAAGTAGTTATCAATTGATTTTACCAAATCCCTCAAATCTTTATATACTAAAACCCAATCGGGGTGGTACTGTGGATGACCAGTGGTGGGACGATTTTGTCCCTGGCTTTTTCCTCCGGTGGTTCCTCTCTTTGGTTTTTGGGGCACCGAAATGCCGCTTTTGCCCATTGCATCCACGCGTCTGTACAATGAGCCTACATACGGAAAGGTGCTCGAACCTTCTCTCATTTTCTTCCGTTGCTTTTTCCTTTCGCCTGCTCTCTGTTTTTCTGCTTTTCTCCCTGTTCGATCTTCGTGTTTCCTTGCTTCTCTGTTTGTGTTCATCGTCTGCCGTCTGAAAAGGTGGTTTTTCTGGCTGATTGCGGTGTTTCAGGTGGTTTGTCTATTTTATTCTTTTTCTCTTTTCTTTGTTTAGGAAGAAAAATTGTAGATCGATTGGTGTAAAATTAAAATCTTTGCGTTTTTTTATCAGTTCTTTCCTAATTTTTTCGTGTTTTTAGCATCGTTGTTTAATCTGATTGCATTTTTTCTTTCAAGAAATACTGCTCTATCAATTTTAGGGTTTCTCTGTGCAATCTTGGAAACCCTTTTCGATTAAGGTGTGTGGGTTTTTTATTTGGAATGTTTTATGCATTTTTCATCTTGGGAAATTTTGGTCTTTTAGGTTAGGGTTTTCCTGTACATCGATTGTCTGTGCATCGATCCTTCCCTAAAACTTAAAAAAAAAAAAAGAGAGGGATGGTCATCCTTAATTTTTGGGTTTTGCTCTGCATGTTTCGGTTTTTTGATGTGGGTGAGGATTTTTTTTTTTTTTTTTTGTGTTTTAGTTAAATGGCTAAACATTTCTCAGAACACACATGTGGATGATCAGAAAGAGAGAGAGAGAGAGTTAAAAAACGTAGTCTATGTGAGTTCATTGTTGCTACATTGTTGAATATATTAAGAATGATGTGATAAACCGGAGAGGGAATCATCAGCTTATGGATGTGTTAACACATCCAATGTGTTGTAATCTTTTTGCTACTTAAACATGTTAACACATCAATTCTAAAAAAACTTGGTCTGCTACTTTACTTACGATGCTATTGGTTTACTCCAACGATAATGGCTAGCTAGGATCGCCTTTCTTTATGTCTTAATTATTGATAGTGCTATCATCATGGCAGGCTATGTTGGAGCAAAAACTGTGCAGGCAAAGACATAAGAGTGATGGATTTTGGAATGAAATGCAGAGGATATCCTTTTGCGCTGCTTAAGTAAAAGTTTCTTCTTCTGTTATGTTTGTGTGTTGGATATTGTAGAAGTTGTATATTCATGATAACTGACTGATTAAGATTACTTACAAGAGGTATATATGCAGAGAAGAGCTCAACATGAGGGTGCAAGAGAGCTATTGGTACAATAAAGAAAGGAAAAGTTGTACGCCACTACAGCACTACGCTGGGTGCTAGCCAACATGATAACAGTACTTACAAGATAACAATAACAATATAAAAATGATTAAGGTGGGAAACATACATTACGTCCAATAGATATCTTTTTCTTGGGACTAATATATGTTTACTGTTCTTTTAATTCATTTATTAATTTTATGTGCTGGTCCTTTTAGCTGTTTAGGTTTTGGTTTTAATCTAAAATGCTTTTACCCAATTATTTTGGGGTTTGATTTAAGAGTGTTATATCTTTTTCAATTTTTATTTATACTGATAGTGAAGGAATGGTGAGGATTGGAAGGCAGATGAGTGTACAAGTGAGAGGAAGATTGAAGAAGAAAGCAGTAAAATGCAGTTGGGTCCTTAATGCACTCCTAAAGAATAGATTGAGAAGTTTAAGGTGTGTGTTTTCTGCTCAACTTTGGGAAAAAATTTGCATCTTTTTTACAATATGTTATTATCTTTATGTGATTTATGTTTGTTGCATTGTTGATTTGCTTTATTGTTTCAGGATGTTGAGAGTTTGAGAAATGCTGGAGGTATCATCATCTCAGCTTCTGATTTTTAAAACTATCCATCATGGAACCTTGAATTTTTTTATTATTTAAATTTTTATTTATATACAATAAGGTCCGGATAGTATAGGTATAATTTTTAATTAAATTCTTGAATCTTTGAATTTTATGTCAATTTCATTTGACATTAATCGGTCATTGTTTGTAGATTGCCAATAATCAAAGTGATTAATCACTAATTGGAAATATTTAAAGTGTAATTTTCTATAACCCCTTTTCCTTTTGTACTTTTATTGAATACATTATCAATTTTCTGCTTAATTATGATTTCTTATCTTAAGAATGTTTGCATCTTAATACTTAGCTTAAATATGTTAATCTGTCCCTTTTTTATATAGAATTTAGTGCAAGTTATTCTCAATCACACAGGCATCCGTAACATCAGGCTGGCATCCGCAGCTTCACGTGGACATCCGTTCACAGTGTTGTTATAATCCATTTGACACTCTCGCAGTTTTTTGCTTTTTTTTTGCAGGGAATGATGTGAAAAAAAAAAAAAAAACCATATTCAAAAGGTTATATTTGTTTGCTCCACTGTGGTTACATCTTTTTTATTTGATCAAGCTTTGTGATTGTGTATGTATTGGTTGTTCTGTTTTTTAAAATGGTGGTTAAAAGAAACTTTTTGTATTCTTATCAGGAGCGGCTAAGTAGTTTTATAGTTTAATGTCTAAAATATTATCCTCGGATATAAATCTTTACTGCTTTGTATTCTAGCTGATTTTGATAACATTTATAATGATATATAAATTTGCTCGATTAATATTGTAGTTTAAAAGTCTTGCTTATCCTGTATGACAAGTTATTTTAGTAACATTTACACTGTATTCTGTCATCATTAGACTTTCAGTTTTGTGCTTAAATTGAATTATGCTAATCTGTATAAAATTGAGAGTCATGTTGATAAAAGCTTCGTTTTTATTCTCCTGTTTTTGAAAGTACCCTGGAAATATTTTAAGTTTGTTTTATCTTTATTTGAAAATGAATTATTTTTGTGTTTGCAATCGTTTGCAGATTAATTTCAATTTGAAAAAATCTCTGCTGCATCTCGGTTCCTACAGTAATTTTAGCTGCTGAAGTAGCTTTCAGCTGTCAAGGTTACTAGCAATTGAGTGTGTTTGTAAGTGCTTTTTGCTTTTGTAAAATTGTGTGAAAGATTATATTTCTTCCTTTTGTTTGATAATTGTCTGGTTGCTGTCAATACTATGGCTTTAAATTGTATATGGAATCATTATTTTCACATATTTCTTTGCTTAAGTTATAATCTAGAGCTACTTTTACGTTATGGTTTTATAACTGGATAGTGCATTATTACAAAAATAGAATGTCTTTTATCAACGTTATCTATGCATTGTAGTTTTTTTTTCCATTACGTGTATGCTACCTTTTTATCTGAAAAGTTAGTTTTAATTTTAACTTATACATGTTAAACCCAACTATTCTTCATTTTTGCAGTTTCCACTCAGCGTGCATAAGACAAGTCAAAAGTGATACTTCTGCTGAAAACTTATCTGCAAAGTAAATTTTGCTTCCGTGGTTGCATGGTGCATTGATGCATAATTGTGCAACTCTATTATAAAAGGTAAGAATGTAGTTATCTTATTACTTTGAAAATCCTGTTCAGCATGTTTTTTTCTAATTTTTTTTTCTCTTATATCTTGCTTCTTTAACTTTCTTAATTTTGTATTATTGTTTATTGAACTTGGATTCTGTTTTTTTATAACAGTAATCACCAAGCAATTTTTTTTGTGTTTTTTCTTTTGTCAGCCAATTGTTTATCACTGATGATTATAGTTTTTATCTGGTTAGCTGTGTAACCATTATCTAAACTCCTTGATACTATTCTCAGTACTATTGTCTTCTTATTGCAGAAAAAATTGATATGGTGCTAAACTATCATACAACATCCTAACCGTACAGGTATTAATACTGTTGATAGCACTGATATTAATCATTGTACAATTATAGTCTGATTTTTTTCCATCAGAATATTTGCATGCTGTAATGGAACAATTGTCTAAAGTTCATTAAACCTATCATTAGTGAACTTCAAACTTGGCAACAAGATAACTTTTTCATTATATACACACCAAATAGTAATAAACTAGAAGAAAAGATAGGATCCAATTCCTATTAATTCTCAATTCTTTCATCCGAATTACTCTTAATCTCAGTTTCTCAATTCTTTAGGGTTTAGAACACCCATACCAAATACACTAGCTTCACTTATGGTAATAGACTTTATCTTTTACGTTTAGCATAAAATAGATAATGACGCATGATGATGGATTACAAATTGTTTTATTTGTTATTTTCAAATTTAGTTTTTACCCTTTCATCCTACATATGACTCCATTTTTCCATCCATGTGAACTAATTATTACATATTATTTATTAACTGCCATAAAACGTTTTTTTTTAACACTTTGTTTTACAAATTTAGGAAACGAAAAAAATAGCTAATTCAGCAAGGAGCTTACAGCGTTGACAAATACGTTTTCAAGCAATGAAGACATGAACATTCAAAGCTATGTAAAATTAATTAATACTTTATTAATTTTTTTTATTGACGTTTTACATTTAATTACAATTTTTGTCAAGCTTTCTCTTTAGGGGATTTAGCTATTACTAATATATATACAAATTATCTTTTCACATGATCTAAATACATGGCAAATTACCTGCTTGCATATTGAAGGGTTAAATTGGATATCCAAAAGTATAAAAGTAGACATTTGTACTAGAGATATACCCTCTCCTCATATTTTAATCTAATATGTTCTTTCACAAATTTAGAAAATATGGACGAGGTTTATCTTTAGTGGTACGATGTCTATATAAATTGGTAATAGTTAATTCCTCTGAAGAGAAGACGGAAATGATGATTTTTACTCCAGATAATCAAAACTGAGTTTACCAATTTACATAAATCTGATCCATCTTTGTTGTACTAAATTGCAACAAACTTATCTTTTCTAAGACGTTATCCAAATTCTCAACCCAGGTATGTATCCAATTTCACTTACTCTTTATATCTCAATGCATTTGTTTGTATAAATTAATATAACGTTAGTCAAAACTGAACAATTTACAAATTATGCTCAATCTATTTTTAATAATTTTTTAGTTGTTATTACCTACAAACTTTCTTATTCCGCAGCAACGCGCGGGCACCACTTCTTAGTTTTATATATACTAAAACTCAGTTGAGTTTTAGCACTGTTCAGAAATAGTAAAAGGGCGGAAATGCCCTTGATTTGTTTGGGGTTTAGGTGCTGCTGAATTGCTTTGTACAGTTAAATGTCATTTTTGCCCCCACTAGGTGGGCTGTCTTCAGCTGCCTGAAAAGTCCTACGCCTTTTTTATCTCGCCTGTTGAGGGATTTGGTTTATTTTCTCGCCGTTCTCATCAATTTTCTACCTAACTCAAACTGCTCTCTCATCTTTTCATCTCTCCCAAATTATCTGTGCGAAATCAGTGAGCCTGTTTTTGGTTGCTGGAAAAAAGTTTGGTTGCTACAAATTTCTTGCGTTCGAAATCCCTCAATCGCTACGAATTTTGTTCCTTTTTTGGATTTATCAGAATCAATTTTTTGGGTCAGAGGTCTACAGTTCCTGGGTGAGGTTTTTTTTTTTTTTTACTTCTTTGGTATCGTTGTTTTAAATTTTTCTTGGTGGTTTTCGATGTTCAGATGCTTTTTGCATATGAATTTTGGATGGTTTTTGTATATGAATTTTGTTTTTATAATATTAGGTATTTTGTTTCTATGCTTAGATTTTAAGGAAAACTAATGAAAAGGGCTTGAAAACTTTGAGTTTTAATGATAAGGACAAAATAAAGGGTAAAGTGAATAGTACCAACATTGACTTTTTAGTGTAAAAATGTGGTTTTTCGTTAAAGTGAAGAGTACCGGGTGCTTTTCGTTAAAGTTCCCTATATTTTAATCTTTTTTGGGGTAAAATATTTAATTACATCATGTCATGGGTTTTTATGGGTTCAATTGGCAGTTTTGATTTTCTTTCTCTTTTCTTTCTATTTTGTTTCCTTTCCACTGCTGTCTCTCAATTTGTGTTGCCTCTCTGATTCTGGCTTCCGCGTTCGTCAAACGATAGAAACCGGCTGAAGTCAATTTTCTGAGGCTTGGTTCTGCTCCTTGGGTCGCTGCCCTGGAGATTAAATTATCAAATTTCGGTGTTTCCACGTTGCCGATTCCAATTAGTCGTTGCTAAGAGGATCAAATTGGTGAATTTCGAAACGAAAACGTTTTTTCCTAATTGATTTCCTTGCTTTTGCCGATTATTGTTGGCTTTAATGCATGTTGATTTTTTATTTTCAATAATTTTGCTTATGTGGTTTGCGATTTTTGTTCAGATTTTGAGGTTTTGATTTTGTTGTTTTTAGGTTTTTTTGCTTTCCTAATTTTGAGTGAGTTATTTGTGATCATTTTGCATTTATGAAAATTAAACTAGGGGAAATTGGTCTCTGTGTTGTGCCAAATCTTTACAGATTACATTTGGCTTAGTTTTGTGGATTTTATTTGGTCTGTGTAGCAATTTTTTGCCTGATTTTTCTCAATCTTATATGCTTGGGTTGTAAATTGTGGCTTTCCAGTATTTTGATTTTGGGGTCTTTAACTAATACACAATTTGCTCTGAGGTAGAAGGAAAAGAAAGTCAAGTATACGAATGAGTTAGAAAGTTAGGTGTGACTATTTTGAAGCACCTGTGATGCTGCTGTTATATTTTGGGTATGTTTTCTGTCCTTCAGCTTTTTTTCAGTTTGGAGATGCACTGATAATTGTTGGATTAAAATGGATTTGTATTTTTTGGGAAGAAATGAGAGGAGTTGTTGGAATTTTAGAAAGCTTTGTGTTTCTACCTTTTATGTGGCAGAGGGAATACAGACAGGGAGAGTAAGAGAGAAAACATTAGTTTAGATTGCAATTTTAAAAGTTTTTATGTTGTTAGTGTTGGAACCAGTGTATTTTGTTGGGAAATTGATAATATGTAAAGTTATTAGGATTTTGGAAAGATTTGTCTTTCTCAGTTTTATCTGCCGGAGGGAACACAACTCTTACATATATGATTTCAAGTTGTCCCTTTAGAAATTCAAGCTCTATTGAATACATGAGGTGTAAGAAACCGTTTGGGATACTTTCAAGTTTTTCTGATTCCCGAAAAAAAAGCATGCTTAAGAGTAATTATATTTTAATTTTTATTGAATTCAGGTAACCATCTTTAGGTTTTTTGCTTTGATTTGAAGAATTTCTTACCCAGGAAAGCCAGGGCTTCCTGATGAGTTCTTTGGGTTCCATATCTGGCATCTTTGTTTTGTTCAAATTTGGGGCGTTTGTGATTTGGGATTTATGTACTGTCTTATCAACTCTTAATGTTGAATTAGGTAGCTATTAATGTTGGATTAATCAAAGTTGGGCATCAGTTCATATGTTTTTCAATGTTTCTATTCCGATTTAATAACGTGATTTAATAGTGTGATGTTGATTTAGGCTATAAATTCAGAGGCTTTTGAATAGTCAAATTTGCAACGGATTTCAGAGGCTGTTGTATCATTAGCTGAAATATGCTACATATAATCCTTAGACATCATTTTTCACTTTGATTAAGATGTGTGCCTACCTTCTCAGGTTTTACCATTGTAGATGCGGGTGGTATAAATTTTTACTTAAAAAATTGAACTCGAAATGAAAACCTAAGTGAAAAAGCATGGAAACAACTCTTGCGTAGAAATGACTTCTGGGAATGAATTTTCTTGAGATTTGATCCCAGCTATTTGATAAGAGTCAGGTTTTATAACTCAAACCATTTCCAATAACTATTTGGTAATAGGATGAATAATTAATCGTCAAAAAGTGAGTTCATACATATGAAATCCTGTTTAAGCTTACTTTTTGCCTTATGAATATTTCTTAATCTGATAGGCTGATGCTTGGGTTATTAAGAATTTTGCCTCGGTAGCAAAATATCTATCTGCCCAAATTATGGGACACGGGTGTAGTTCTTATTTTGATAATTTTTTCTTCTTTCTCTCTTTGATACTTTTCATGTGTATTCACTTGGGAAAAATACTTAAGTCTTAATGATATTAGTGCTGCAGGATATATTTTCTTCTGCAGCCATAAAATCTGTAAACAGATTTTCAAGTTTACAAGGAGGTTGCAGTGTTGAGTTTGGTTACACAGATAACGCTGCAGTATACCATACAAAGGTTTTTTTTCTTTCCTTTTGCCCCATTTTTGGGATATTGGTTACAAAATCCATTTTTAGCATAGGTGTGAAATTTACAGTAGGGGTTAGTAAGTTAATTAGTTAATTTCATTCTCAATGTGCACAAATGTTGTTCTTGCATTAATTCATTTTCTTTGTATCAAAATTGAATAAATCTAATTCTCCTTGATATCCGCTCATTCTGCTAAGATATTTATGTTGTTTCTCTCATGCTCTATCACAATATATCAGTTACTTTAATAAATTTAGTTCTAAACGTTTTCTTAACATAGATGATCTTACAAAAATCAGTGATGTACTCATCTAATTTTTAATTTTTAAGTCTTTTTAATGACTAGTTTGGTATTTAGGCAGCTTTGATCTTTGATTTTAAATATGAGATTTTGTCTAATTCTTTCTGATCCTCAGTTTCTATTGTCATTTACGGTTTAATGGACATTCTTGAATCACATTGGTTAACACCAAACAAATGGTATGTGTCATATTTCTCTTTTTCTATTCCTTTACTTTCATACAGAGTTTTGTTTGAATGCCATCATTTTCACAGCCTCTTATACACATTTGATTCAAACTTCATCGTTCTTTAAATATCTGTATATATTATGCTCACACGTTTTGTAATCCCGCAGTAACGCGCGGGCACTATTTCTAGTTATATGCTAAAACTGGGTTGGGAACGGCACTGTTCATTAATAGTGCCGGGACGGAAATGCCCTCGCTTCTCTGCTTTGTTTCCGTTTGTCTCGCTTGCTTGGTGCGCCGAAGAGACCTTTTTGCCCCTGTTTTCCACGCGTCGGCCATCCTTATTCCCTCGACTTCGAGAGTCTTCCTAGCCGCTTAGGTTGTTGTTCCTTCCGTGCCTTTCCTAATTTGCGGTCTTCCCTTTTCGTTTTGCTGTTGTTTTTTCGAATCCTCTGATTTTCTCTGGTGTTCTGTTCTCTGTTTCGTGGAAAGAGTTCTTGATTTTCGTTTTTTAAGGGATTTTCTTTGTGGTTTGTGCTTGCGGGGCTTTTTTGTGGAAACTAATGATTGTCTTTCAGTTTTTATTTTGGATTTTTTGTTCGTTTCGATGAAACCCTAATGATTTCGTTTTGTTAACAGTTGTGGTGCTCTCTTGGGGTTTCTATACGCGTTGGTCATCTGGAAGGGAAAGAAGCTGGAAAATCTAGGCAACTGAGGAGTCTCTCTCATTCCACTCTATCTAATTCCACTTTCTTTAAAATCCCAAAAATGGCTCTCCAAGACTGGAACTGGAAGTATGAGGTACCCTATTCGTTTTTCGGTATTTTTTTTGTTTAATTTCTTTATTTCATGCGTGGTGGATTTCACTTTGGTGATTATTGAATTGCTTATATATTTGCTTGGTATTTAGGGTGATCTAATTTTTTTGGCTGTTCATCAAGAGCAGCGGCATGAGGTACACTTTTTTTTTTTCTGTTTTTTTTTTCTTTCTAATTTTTATGTAATGATGGAGGTGGATTCTCAGAGTATACCTGGGATGATGAGAAATTGGAGCTCCTCTGGGGCCAGATCCATTTGGATTTTGGGGTCTGATTGGAGGAAAAGAAAATGAAATAAATTTGGGGTTTGTATTGATTTGGTGTTTGGTTTTGTTTAATTTTTATTCTTGCATGTTTTTATTTTTTTGAATTTTGACTGTTTGTTTTGTTAGTTGAAGATTACGGTGTTCGATTGATTTCTATGTGGTGAGTTGTTAATTTGTCCTCTATTTATTCATGTTATTTTATGAATGCTTGCATAATCTGTATCTCATTTCACTAACTCATTGGGTGTTTTTTTTGATAATGGTAGCGCTGTTTGTTCTGTTAATTTTTAAGTCTGTGTGTGTGTTTAACCCAGACTTTGGACATCAATTTGGTTCTGTTTTCTTGGTGGTTTGATGTGTTTTGTGCTATGTTTTTCGGTCAATTGACTCAGTTCATATGATTAATTCCCATGGTTCCCATGCCATATTGGTTGAATTTATTTTAACTATATTTATTTTTATTGCAGTCATATCCTCATATAAACAACAAGTGGAAGGTTTACAGGACATTAACCAATTAGTTGAGCTATTAGTTCCTTTACTTTGTGATGTCCCTGGTGTGAGTGAAAAAAAATTGTTCAGGTACTTTATAGTTAAGAAAATTTAACAATGCCTTTTTTGTGTGCTTTACTTTATGTCGTTTTGATAAACAGAGGTTCAGCAACAGGTTACTGAAATTATCACTTATATATATAGCCTCCACCACAAAGTAATTTCCTAAGAAATGTAAAGTACTTTGTCTTCTTGGTTAGTGTTCTCTAATTTAGATTAGACATTAGGGCTTTCAGCTTGGTAAGGTTTCTTTTCTTGATGTACCTCATTTTTTTATTTATTGTTCTTCTTTTTGGAGTTTTTGATTTACAAATAAATTCTACGTTTAAATTCTCTTTTTTTGATCCTGTAGATTTTGTCTCTGTAATCGCACTGTCTGATATCGTTCTTCTTCACTTTCAAGCAGCACCGGTGTTTATTGAAGGTATATAATCCGTTTGGACACTTAGTTTTCAATGTATCAAGTATTTTGCGTTGTTAGTTTTTTGTTACTTATGTTGTTGCCTACCCTTTTTTTTCTATTTTCGTTTTTATCTGCTTCTCGTTCACCTTTGTGCAACCCATTGTCCTTAGTTTGTAATCTTTCGTTGGATAAATTTGATCGCCCAATCTATTCCCAAGCGACATCTTTGGTTTTAAACTGTTCTAACCAGTTTAATCTTTAAACTGTTTAATGTTAACCCCAACATTTTATTTTCGTTCTATCTGCATTGGAACCAAACTTAAATGGTGCTAAAAACGTATAGAGCCTTTAACTATACCATGAATGCAATGTTAGCCAATAAATAATTATAAAAGTAACTTCATCATGGGCTATAATCATATCCAACATCGTTCCATGATTGTTACCAACCTTTAAAACCAAATTTAGCATCGGTATGTTTTACCTCTGTTTCAATCTCAACCACTAGCGGCTACAATTTTGTATTAATCACCGTTATTGATTGTACTAAACATATGATCATCAGATCCCAATATGTCGATCGTTGTTTTACCTACCTTATCATATGTGAAACGGTTATATTTGCACTCATTTTTAGGCTAAATTGGATTGTTCATCCCTGTGGTCATAGGACACTTGCATGATGACCCCCGTGGTGAAAAAACTAGGAATTAAACCCCTGTGGTCTAGAATGTTAGCAAATTTAGTCCAAAAGTAAGATTTCTGTTAAAGGACTGTTAAAAGTTGGGGTAAAATTGTATTTTCAGTTCTAATTGACATTGAATTGGGGCTTTTTTTATTTAAAAAATTAAGCATTATTTTTTTTGTTAATTGTTATAAAAAAAAATATTTATTTTAAATGTCAATTGGAACTGAAAATACAGTTTTACCTATACTTTCAACAGTCATTTAACATAAATCTTATTTTTGGACTAAATTTGCTAACATTCTTGACCACAAGGGTTTATTTCCTAATTTTTTCACCACGGGGGTCATCATGCAAGTTTCCTATGACCACGGGGATGAATAATCCAATTTGGCCTTCATTTTTATTCATTGGAAAAGTATTTGTGTCTCCATATTCAATCCTTGGTGCAAAATGTTTACAATTTGAATCTGTTTCAGTTTTCTACAGCCAAATTAGAATCAATCTAAAAGAACTGCATCTATTCGCCGTCTTCAAGGTATAACATTGATCACTCTAAACTTTTAATTTCTTTTTCAACTTTTTTCCCTTTTACATTTCTAAAAAACCTTTATTCAATAGCTACTGATATGGTCACTTGCAGCATAAAAAACTTCATATTTTTTGTCAATATTTAAGTGTATCTTATGTTTCTTCATGAACCAGGTTTGCCCATAAGTCTGTAACCATCCACGTATATAACTTATCCATTTTTATCATTGTGGTATCAATTCAAATTTACTCTTATTTTTTGAGGTGGGATTGATCTTAAAACACAAGAACCAAAATTTAATTGATCCCATTCTGTACACAAAAATTCCATCGACCAAAAACCTCACATGGAACACAAAAGTATTCACCTCTTTTTTTTCCCGCTTCTCCTTAGTTTTTACCTATTTTTTTTTTTTTTTTTTTTTCACAGCATTTTCTCCTTCATGATGTTTAGCGCATAGTTTTTAAACCTGTAAAACCCTATTCGTTTTAAGTGTTTTGCCTCATTATTTAACATTCATTTGGATTTGTGATTGATATCAACTTGGTTAGGTTTTCATTACTTGCAAAGCGTCTTTAGAGTAATGCCTTTAAACTGTGTCAAATTTTCAGTGAAAAATCTTGAATGCCTTGACATTTATCCTATGGATAAATTCATGACATTCTTTTCGGTGAAATACTAAAGGTCCCATACGCCAATCTCTCTTTTATCATCATCAGCAAACTATTCGTATCATTTTGAGCCCAACTTCAGCCAGACCGCATTTACTAATGAAACGATTATTTCTTGACAGTTTGACCCGAGTACCTCCAGAAAATATCTATGCATGGACCACTATTATAACCCATTCTCAACTGATGAACTTCAAACTATGGTGCGTATCGCGCCCTTTTGCCTTCCTCACTATTTATTCAGCTATTATATATCCAATCGTATTGATTCCTACAGAACAATGTTTACTGTTTTCGGCAACCTCTTAATTTTACAATGTATTACAATTTCTTTCTTGCTGCATTAAATAGAATGTGAAGAATAAAGCCAATTTAAAAACCTAATATCTATTTATGTTCTTTGTTGTCCCAGAAGATTTTTCATTATATGAAGAAAATAGATAGATGCTCCGCCCATTTTGCGGAAAAAAGGTATACAACAGTGCAGCACCGCAGCAACGCGCGGGCAGCCTAGCTAGTAGATTATTAAAACGGAATTGGATCCACTCCGGACCCGCCTCACACAAATCGACGACTCCGATTTCATTTCTACACAAATGTGTGCTTATACGGTTTATTACCCGTTGTCATTTTTTCAAATCCGTATAATCTAGACTATCGACCCTCGGTACACGCACGCATTGGTGACCAAAACTTCTTGTTGGCTTTGGCTTTTCTTGCCAACGTTCTTCTTTCCTTTTTTCTTGCTCTGGCTTTTGCTTTCTTGACTGTTATGCCCTAATTGGGTGCTAGGGTTGTTTCCCTGGCTTATCTTTCCCCTCCTGTGTACTATGTGGCCTTTCTTGCATACTTCGTTCATGATTACACTTTGTTGAACTTTAGTTGTCTAGTCACCATATAATTGATCCAGTGCACTCGTGAACACAACAGGGAGATAGCTTTTCCTACGTAGGGATAGCAAACCATTGGTTTGGTCCTTACACAATTTGAACATGTTAACATAAAACTTCAACCCCATCTCGGAATCCCAAAAAGGATGTCTAAAAAGGATGTCTGATCATGAATAAAGAGTGGTCCTCTTCTAACATTAAACCCCTCCCAAGTTTAGTTATGGAAATAAACGCATGATATCTTTTGAGGCATGTCAAGAGAGAAGGATCTTTGACCCTCCTAATTAATTGGAGGACAAGAACTTCAATGTAGCTAAAGTTGATTAATCTGTTTGCAGATGCAATTTTAAAGAGATAAACTTGGAGGTGAGTAGATACGCATATGCCATCCCTTAAATTTCCATGCCAAATTTTTTGACTTTGCATGTACTGCAACAATAGTCCCAAACTCCTGAAGGATTTGTTATAAATAGTTAAATAAAATGATGATAGATGCATTTCACTAGATAATCTCTATGTAGCATACCTTAAATTTTATTGGAAAGCTTTCCAATTACTTGCATATAGAAATGTGTTTGGAGTTGGACATGTCATATGCTACACAGAGATTTTCTAGTGAAATGCATCTATCATCATTTTACTAAACTATTTATAACAAATCCTTTAGGAGCTTGGGACTATTGTAATAGTCAAAAAATTTAATTTGGCATGGAAATTTAAGGGATGATATCTGCATATCTACTCACCTCCAAGTTTATCTCTTTAAAATTGCATATGCAAACAGATTAAGTGACTTTAGCTACATTGAAGCTCTTGTCCTCCAATTAATTGGGAGGGTCAAAGATCCTTCTCTCTTGACACGCCTCAAAAGAGATCATGCGTTTATTTCCATAAATAAACTGGGAGGGGTTTAATGTCAGTAGATGACCACTCTCTTTTCATGATCATGCATCCTTTTTGGGATTCTGAGATCGGGTTGAAGTTTTATGCTAACGTGTTCAGATTGTGTAAGGACCAAACTAATAGGTTGCTCTCCCTACATAGGAAAAGTTATCTCCCTTTTGTGTTTATGAGTGCACTGGATAACTATACGGCGACTGGACAACTAAAGTTCAAGAAGGTGTAATCATTAACGAAGTATGCAAGAAGGGCCACATGTTACATAGGAGGGGAAAGAAAAGCCAGGGAAACAACCTAGCACCCAATTAGGGCATAACAGTCAGGGAAGTAAAAGCCAGAGCAAGAAAAAAGGAAATAAGAACATTGGCAAGAAAAGCCAAAGCCAACAAGAAGTTATGGGCAACCAAAGCGTGCGTGTACCGGAGATCGGTAGTCTAGATTATACATCCCGCTCTTTGCCCACAATCTGCACAAGGGAAAGAGTGGAAGAATTGAATATGACAATAGCAAAAGCTAAGGTAAATCCATCTCAAATCTAGACAGTGATTTCATGAAAATTGAATAAGCCTTGATGTGAGAAATATATCTGTCTAGTTGAATTTACTTTTTTTGCTAAACAGTTTGAAGAAGAGAAGATACCGAAGGAGGTTCATCAAGTGTTTCTACGAGTTTTTGAAGGGGCAGATGACGATGTATATGAGGCACTTTACAAAGCCTACCGATCCGGTTATAGGCATCCTCAACACACATTGAGCAAAATACTAGAAGAATAGGATGTTAGTTGTGGAGAGATAAAAGTGTATTCAGCAATAGACTAAAACTTAGCAAAATAGAGAAAACTAGAAAACACACAAGACTTATACTGGCTTGTCAAAACTTTTGCCCAAGTCCAATTGTGATTTTCCTAGGTAGAGAAATCTCGACTTCTTCAATTAATAATAGAGTATATAGTACTTATCTCTCTCTTCTCTCGATTGTCACAGATTTTCTCACTGTTTTAAGCCTTAATTGCCGCACCCTATTTATAGGTATAGAGTGCAGTTAACATGTCCTATTCTAAGTGGAATAGGAAATTAGACTTCCTTTCCAATTCCAAAGCTCTGGTATGATTGAAGTGCGGCAAAAGTATCAACTCCTCCAATTAAGTCACATCGGGCATATTGTAAACCCATGCTTAGATACGCAGATGTCATCCCTTAAATTTTCATGCCAATTTTTTTTAATTTTGCATGTACTGCAACAATAGTCCCAAACTCCTGAAGGATTTGTTATAAATAGTTTTGTAAAATGATGAAAGATGCATTTGACTAGATAATCTATGTGTAGCATATGGCATGTCCAGCTCCAAACACATTTCATATCTGCAAGTAATTGGAAAGCTGTTAAATTTTGTTCAAGGATGAAAATGAAGAATACCTTAAGACCTGCCAAAGGTCTCCATCTTTGTAGATTTAGGGATTGTATAATTCCAAATTTCAGAAAGAACAAAAAAAAAAAAAAGCTTTATTTTACCTCGCAATACAAAACATGCATCATCCACCTCTGTCTTTCTCCTTCGGAAAAAAAGAAAAAGAAAAGCTTTATTTTACAGCGAGTGAGAGCAGTATGCTGGTAATTAAAGGGGCAAACCCTCACATCAGCAAAAAGACAAGTGTACTTCTAAATCTCTTAGCCTTTTGCCAATATCTCTCTCTCACAAGTTTTTAAGTACACCATCTCCACCTTTCATGGCGGTCACTAAAATTACAGATGGGAGTAGTATTCGTGATAAAAATCAAAGCAATAAGTATGAGAAGAGGAACCTTATAGTTTAACCGTCAAGTTGTTTACCTTCTTTAGTTCCTTAGACGTATTTATGTTTTTTTTTTCCTTTCTGAACAAACGATACTATCTACATTAAGGAGAAGATGGTAGACTTAGCCTCACAATGTATTCAATATGTATTTTATATGTTTGAATCGTATAAATTATTACTTTATTTTTTTTAATTTTTTTTTATACAAAGAGGTATCTAATATGACCAAAACAATATTGAAATGCACCAAGATTATAGAAAAGTTATTGCAGTATTAAAACACCGTCACATGATATAATCAATTCAGTCCACCAATGTTATAACAATGGGGTATAATATTTCTCTTAATGCATAAATATGTCGTTTACACATATTGTAAGCGCATGAATATTGCTTGCCTAAGCAAGTCTGGACAAAAATATAGGCAAGAAAATAATTGGGAATGTTTTATGGATACAATTACAAACCATAGTCATTTAGTAGGCCTAGCATTACTCACAACAACCAAACCATATCCTAGTAAGTAGGGTCGGTTTTGTGTAAAACTTGAAACTCTAGAAAAAAAAAAAGGACTACGATAACTATACTTGTAAAGTTCAAATAGGGAAAATAAATAGTAAAACTGTACAAAAAAAAAATTGGAGAGATCTCAAAAATCGAAGGTTTTTATACTATTCATTGTTTAGAACATACAGTACAAGGTCAAATGCTGAAGTCTCCAGTTGCCATTTTTTCAATATAAAGACAAATGGAAACTACTAATAGCCTAATAGGAGGAGCAGTATTAAATTCGCATTAGTACAGTGAGTTTTTAATGCCAGCGTTTGGAAGACCTCACTGATGAGCTGCTGCCGGCAGTAGATTTCCAAGGACCTGAAATGAATTAGGGGAATGAGATAAGAGAAGAGGCGTCGTCGAAAGGAGGAAATGAAGGGGGGACAGGGACAGGGACGGGGACGGGGGTTTGGAGAATTACGGTGGCTATGGTGAAAGTATATGAATCACTGCTGGTCTAAAGGTTGAATACAACAAAACGGTTATATGTAGACGGAAGGATTCAGATACATACTTGGCAAAACCTTTGAAGAACTTCTGATCACAGACGTCCGAGTAGCTTTTGTTTCTGCCAACTTAGGTGATGGCTTTGGAAGTTTAGATGGTGCAAACCTTGAATCCAGATAAAAAGAACAATTGAAGCATTAGATTCATAGGAATGAAGTGGGTTTAATGACTAGACAGTCGGGCAAATATTAAAATTTCCAGATTAATCACCCTCAATTTGAACTCAATTTTTAAAACTTTGACCAAGTAACAAATATAATAACTGGTGCATAAAAAATTTGGGAATTTAATCTTACTAACAAAATAGCACGTTATCAATCACATGAGGATGTGAGGAAATGAGAAACTTACCTTACTGTGCGCTGGGATGGTGTCTTTTCGCCCTGAGCATTCTCAATTTGAGTTTTCATGACTTCTGTATTTCCAGCATTTGTACTTTCTGTTGCTTTTGTAACATCAGGGAAAAGAGTAAACTCCATAAAACTGGCCATGGAACCCTCAGTTTCTGTTCCCATTGAGAGACCACCATCAGATATGTCGCTTAATCTCTCCCCAGAATCTTCCTCACCAAAGCCCACGAGCTCAAAATCTTCAGTGATGTTCTGACTTGACTCATCTCCATCCTTTTGTTGAGTCGAGTGTTCCTTATGACGTCTAAAGTCATCCATTGACTGCTCAGAACTGCCTTCAGAATGCTTTCCTCCACCTCCATACTTTGGTTGAGTTGAATGGCCCTCATGATTTCTAAAGTCATCTAGTGACTTATCAGAACCAGCTTCAGAATTCTTTGTCTCACCTCTGTGCTTTGACAGAGGCGAATGCTCCATATTATCTCTAAAGTCATCTGCCGACTGCTGCGAACTATCTTCAGAATGCTTTGCCTCACCTTCATGCTTTGACTGTGGCATATGTTCCTTATGATGTCTAAAGTCATCCATTGACTGAGAACTACCTTCAGAATCATTTGCCTCTCCTCCATGCTTTGACCGAGGAAAATCTTCCCTACGATTTCTAAAGTCATCTGTTGAAAGCTGGGAACTAACTTCAGAACGCTTATCACTATAATATCCCAAGCCTCTTCTACCTGGGCTCTTTTGGCTCAGTCGAGGAGACCCAATTGAATGTCTTCTTGGAGAGGAAGACGCAAATCTTAGTGAGCTCATGCCATGGTGTAACCCATTACTATTGACCTTCAGCAATCGTTCAATCTCTTCATCTTTCTTAGCAATTGTGTCCCTGAAGGATGCCACCTGCAAGATTTAACAGATAATTAGATATTGAATAAAAGCATTTCCTGACTGACTTCTGAGGGGATACAGTATTTGTCAGCTTTGCACTGTTGCAACCCCAATATTTCATCCTGCCAGCGGATCATGTCAATTTCTTTTATCTGTTGAATGCAACCCTTATTCTGGAAAAAAGAAAAACCTCGTACAATCGTTGAGGTTTTATTCTCAAAAGCCAACAATTTGGTAGGTCGAAATATGAACTGTGGAAAATAACCCCTCCTATAAGCTTCCACGGCACCAATGCTTTCAAACAACATAACCGATATCATATAGAGAGTCAATCAGTATGCAAAGTATTTTCATCAGTCAACCAGGAAAAAAAACCCAGAGACAATGCTGGAAACAGCATCAGTATAGGGCGTCCAACCAGAGAAAGGCAGGTTCATTTTAGAACTATTCTCTATGAGTAACAAGGCACCAGCCCACATGGCAGGAGGATGCTCTCTCAGCACCAATTTTAAGTGTGAAGCCAGAAACACTTAGCATTAAAGAAACTCCCTGTGCAGTTTAACCGCTCATTATAGCAAATCTATTCCATTGGTGCATGCAGTTCTCACTAAACCGCATCAGGGGTCAGTGAGCTTTTTTATCTTCTTTTTTTAAAAGACCAGCATTCCTAATTGACAACCCATTACTTTCATTGGAAACGAAGAAACAGCATCAAAGGACCTATTCAACTTTCTATAACCTCTACTTATTTGACAAGACAGTAAACTAATTTGAAAAAGCAATGGAAATTTATCTCAAATTAATCCAAATGGCAGAAAGACACTATATCTAGGTAGACATACTTAAAGAAAATAATAAGAATCTGTACCTGCTCCATAAGTTCTCTTACATATCTTCCCTCTTTGTTGCTCCGGGCAGCACCTAATTCAACACCAGAAACCCTCTCTGCAAACTTCAGTGTACTTATAGTCTGAGCGAAGGATTCAACATCCGGATTCAGCTGTACAAACATGAGTGTCTTTGCTTGACCACCTACAGTTAGAGAAGCAAATCAATAAATAAACAATCCATAAATTGAAGATAGCAAGAGCTATAGAACATAACTTGCATGCTATAACAATGACCTTGTCATCTCATCAAGAATGAAACCAAATAATTGAACAAGTACCTAAAGAACTCTGAAGCACTTGAGTTAATTTGCTGTTTCTATACGGTACATGTGAAGACTTCTGTGCAAGAGCAAAAATCACATCCCCGAGAGCAGACAGTGACTTGTTTATATGCTGTGCCTCCCTCAGCCTATCTCCAGTAGCTTCAGATCGATCCACTCGTTCGCTTCCGGCAAGATCCACGAGATGTAGACTACCACGCAGAGAAGTGTCAGACTTCAAGTCCACTCCACGAACATGAACAGTCAAAACACTGCACCATTTTAATTGATTAAAAATTAGGTCTCATGGAAGAAGACAATAAATATAATGTCGTTAAAAAACTTTGTATTCAGAATATAACCTATGAGATCGGCTACTTCGTTCATTTAGGGCAGTAGCACCGACTGCCCGGTTCATCAACCCAATATTCATTAACTTTAGGACATCTGCAGTTGAGTTAACAGGATGCATGCTTGCTTCAGGGACAGCTAACCCATTTGGCTGGGTAGTATTCCAAATCCCAAGTGTGTGCAAGTTAAAGGAAACAAAATCTTTTGTAATACCAAAGTGAGGAAGATAGGATCAATATCATCAGGAATTATAGCAAATAAATAAGAAGCAAACTATTACTCAACGCAAGCATCCTAATTCTCAACCGTGGCATTTTAAAAGGTAACACAAATTAACGAAATGAAGGATATCTTTTTTGAGGACCCTCACTT